AGCCCACGGAGCTCCTCTCCGCCTTGGCACCCACCCCAACTGGGTCGGGAGAACTATGGTGGCCCCAGAGCCCCTGGCTGGACCCATGGTTGAGGAGTGCCCTCGAGCCCCGAGTCTGGCTCATGCTATGAAGCCACATTTGGAGTCACAGGAAATCCCCTGAGGATTCTTTCTGACTTCTGGCTTTTTTTTTTTTTTTAGAGAGAGCGAGGTAGGGAGGGGCAGATGGAGAGCGAATGTGAGAATCCCAAGTAGGCTCCCCACTGAGCGCAGAGCTCCATCCCTCCACCCTGAGACCCGTGACCCCAGCAGAAATCAAGAGTCAGATGATCACTGATTGAGCCACCCAGGCGCCCTGGACCTCAGGCTTTTTTTTATGGTGTGAGACTTGTCACACCTCTTCCAGGTAGGGAAGCGGCCCCACCCCATGCCTGCCCTGCCCTGCACCCCCTCCGGGTCCCACCTTACCCTCTTGGCTTCTAGGAAGATGGAACCTGGGAAGAACAGGGAGAAGAGGGACTTACTCAGCTTCTGTGAAAGGCAGGCTTGGGCGCTGCGGGGGCAGACTGTAGGTCCCGAGCACGTGCTCCCCTCCATGTTAGTACAGTTGTGACATCTTAAGGCCCAAGCTGTGGGGGGACAGAGGTCAGCATCAGCCACCGGTGTGCCAAAGCCCCAGGGCCTGGCCATGGCAGGAAGGGAGGCGGGTCCCAATCTGCTGCCCAGGACCTGGGACCCAGGAGAGACTTGGGTGCAGAATCAAGGTGCTCAGGGAGGAGGGGCAGGTGAGGGAGGACCAGGAAGGTCGGGAGAGGCCCCTGGAGGAGGAAATCGGGTGAGCTGAGGAGTGGGTCAGAAAGTACAGCGGAAGCCACGCGGCAGGGAGTGGGAGAGATGAGGCTGGGCAGAGGTGTGTCTCTGTCCTCCCGTCTCACCTCCACCCTGGCACAACAGGGCCACCAGCAGAACAATAGCCCTCATCCTGGCAGCTGCCGCCTGCGCAGAGAGCTCTGGGCTGGGCCAGGCAGGGCCTTATGTAGCTGCCACTCTCCTCCTCCTCAGTGGGCTCCTTCCTCCCACTGGGCGGGTCACTGTCACACGTGTCTTGGACACGACGCCCCGCCCCCACCCCCTGCCCGCCCCGCAGCCTGGACCAGACATACCCCTACAATAAAATGTCCTTCATCCGAGGCTCAGGCAGACAAGTCATCAAGACAATACCTGGCCACACTTCTCAAGTCCTCCATCAAGGACAGAGGCAAGGGGGCTTGGACTCATTAGTTCCTTCTGGGGTCTTTGGGGCAAAGAACGTTGAAAGGAGGCAACAGCCCGAAGCAGCCTCTCAGAAACGTGGAGGGCTTAGAAGTCTCTGTATTTAACCCACAGCTGCGTGTGAAAGCCGCATGTCCGTCTACAAGACGCACATGCCTGGCTTAAGAAAACAATGCTTTAAAGCAGCCCTGAGTACACCTGCTCCGAGAAGTGGCACTCTTCTGTGGCTTCGGAGGCCTGGGGCTCCCACGTACCAGAGGTGCCCACGCGGCCTGGGTGCCCACGGGCGCTCACAGACAGGAGTCCGCGCCCGAAGCCACAGCGCAGCAGGTGGCGGCCTCAGGCATGGAGCTCAGCCTCTCCAGCCTCCCTGCCAGGAGCTAAAGGTCCGTACACCTCCGGGGGGCGCTGACAGGCGGACCAGGTGAGCGGAGGCCTCGTGACCCGGCGCTCAGGGATGGGGGGTCTTTGGGCCCGGGGGGAAATGAGGGGAGAAGGATGGAGAAGGAAGTGTAGGAGCTGTTCTGCAGCAGGGCGGGACTTGGAT